AAAATAAAAATTATTTCTTATTAAAATTATAAATTTTTATATAAAGAGAAAATTTCAATTTTCACTATATTTTATTAATAAATTTAGCCCCTAAGTCATTACTTTTGATCACTACTATAAAAACTTATAAAATATAATAATTAGAATTATTATATCTATTATATTATAATCTGATTTAATATATAATTATTAATTTAATATATTATTTTATTTTAAATATTATAAAATATTTATTTAAAATATTTAAATAAAAGAAAATATAATATATTAAATAATAAAAAGTTAAAAATAATATAATTATATATTAATAAAATTTTAATATTTCTAAAAATTGATAAAATATTACAGAAGATAACTATAAACAAAAAGAATTTTAAAACTAATTAATAGAAGTTATTCATCTTGATCTTTATAATATTGATAATATAAAATTTTTTATTATTTTAAAATTATTAAATTTTATAATATATCTATCAAATATTATATTTAAAAAAAAATATAAAGTAATATATTTATATTTTCTTGAAATTGATCAATTAGTTAAAAAGTATTATGATTCAAATTATATTATTCCAAATATATATTTCATATTTTATATTAAAAAATACTATTTAACTATAAATTTATATATTTTTTGATGTTTTTTCTATGAGAATAAATAATATTTTAAATAAAATAATATTTCAAGTATTCAAATATTTATTAATTAAAAAAATAATAGTTTTATATTATTATATTTAGATTAATATTTAAATAATTAATAATAAATTAAGTTAAAACTTATATAATCATATAACATAAACTATAATTTTCAGATATGATATATTTCATCACTTAGTATTCAAAATATTATACTTGAAGAGATATTTTACACAAAAAAAGTATATCTTATTATATAGTATCCAGATATATATACTATATAATATCTGAATATATATTATATATAATATCAGATATTATTCAATATATATGTATAGTAATTGATATAAATATTTAAAATATTGATTTGATATATAAAATATTATATAATATTATCAATTTTAAATTAATATATATATAAAATTGGAATTTCTTTATTTAATAATAAATACAATAATATAAATATTTTTGTTATTAGTTTTTGTATCTATTAACAAAAAAATAAAAAAAAATGTCATCCATTTTTAAGTATGAAGTACAAAGAATAATGATAAGTTAGCTTTAGGCAAATAATATCTGGAAATCTGTAGAAATTGTATAAATAACAGATTTTTCTAAGTCTATAGTATATGATATAATCAATTAGATTAAAAAATCATCAAGTATTATATCTCTTTTCAGATCTGAAAAACTTTCAATTTTTATAGTTAAATAATATTATATTCTTAACTAATTAGTGCAAATTAATAATATCACCACTGTAGCTAAAATAACTGAAAGACTTAAATAAAAAAATTCTAACTTGAAAGTTTCTATTTATATAATTTAACGTATCTTAAAAAAAATCTTTAATTTGATATTTATCATCTACTGTAAATTTCTCTTTTACAGCCCTATTACATTACAACTTATCTTGAATAGGCATAGAAATATATCTATCAAAATTAGTCTTACATAATTTTTTCTGATGAAATAATCCTCTAAATATTCAGAAATACTTAGCTAATAAAATATTATCATAGAATATTATAACTATATAAAAGTATGATAAAGTATTCCTATAAGATTCACGCTTGTGATGCTTTTAGTATGCAAGGACCAATTATACTTGTCTTGTTTACTAAAATCTTCAATGCTAAAAAATATCAAGAAATTCTTGAAATAAATCTTTTTCTTCATATTTCTATAGCAGATCATAGGTTGCATTTTCAATAGGATAACTCTCCAATTCACAATGCAGGTGAAATAATCAATCTTTTTCATCATTATGATATTTGAATTCTTGATTGGTCTTCTTACTTGCCAGATATTGATCTATCAAGAATTTGTGGACTATACTTAAGGAAAAGGTGAAAAAAGAGATAAATTTATGATTAAACAAAAAAAACTTTCAATAATGGAATTTCAAATGATAATACAAATGGAATGGGCAGATTTGAGTGAAGATCTCTTTCTTTGATTAGCAAGGAGTATGAAGGAATATGTTTCAGCGGTGATTGAATAGGAGGGAAAAAAAATTAACTATTAAATTTTTGTAAATAGTTAGTAGTTGTATTTGAGAATATGCATACAAAATTTTTACACATGTTAATAATAAAAATAAATTGTCTTACCTGTCATAATAAATTCTGGATATTTATGTTGACCATTGTATATATTTGCACATTTGTATGAAATTTTTTTGAAGAGATTGACAATGTGTTTGATAACACCATTTCAAGATCAAAAAAGTCTATAAAATGCACCTCCATCACTAGCTCCAATTTCATTATTAAGCAGTCGACAAGATTCTGGAATTTGAGTAAAATATTTACCAGTGATAAATAGGAAACCAGTTAAGCCAGAGGAAATTTTAACGCAAATTTCAAGCGAAAAACTGATCCGATTAGGAAAAGCACTAAGAAAATAAGGAAAGTATCCAGCATTTGGCTTTTTCAACTATTTAGTTCCAAAAATTTCAACTTGTTCAATAATCAATTTCAGCGATGGTTTGCGCTTCTGCAATTTTCTGTTTGATTCAATCATTATAGAGCAAGCTTGATGATATTTTAGCTAAGACAGTTTTTTTCAGATTGTCGCAAAATCAACCAAAGTTTGGTCCATCCTAACCTGGCTAAAATTTCTTTCAATGCCGTTAACGGCGTTATATTCAAAGAATATAATATGTAGATTATTAATTATGTTCTTAATGTTTTATTCATGAATGATATGATTTATATTACTAACTTAATAATTTACTAATAATGCTTTGAAATAGTATTGATTTTATAGTGAATTAATGGTAAAGGGTATTCATCTTATTTAAGATTGTCAAGTAGAAATTGGTTGTTATAATTCAGCATTCGTACTTTTACTAGCAAATATCAACAGACTTGCACTCTGCACTATATTCTTCTTAAAAAAAATCAATAAGTCTATTGATGAAAAAAGCCCTTTGGCGGGGTACGGGCGGAACTTTACTGGCATTGAGTGAGGATTATCAATAACTCGAGTCCAGGGACTATACCTCCACAGGATCTGCGATCATCAATTTATCAAATGAAGATATATAAACATTATAATTCTTTAAGAATTTTTATTAATAATTTAAATCTATGGAAAAATGCAAAACCAGTGAAATGACATTCTCAACACAAGCACCATCGTCAAAAAGCAGTATAACCATTGACAACATTCTAAAAATAAATTTACACGTTGTACACGTAAATCCCATCGCCAAAGTATATGACTCGTTCGAATACGGGAAAATGGCATTGATCGTGCGCTACGAGATGCTTGAATTGTCTTGGGATTTTTATAATGCGCAACAGGAGATTATAATTCCGTTTAAGCAGATTCAAAAATTTAGAATTTCTGATGGGAAAATTTATATTCAACTGCTTGGTGAATTTATTAGTTTGATAAAGGTAAAAATATGGACGTTTGATTATATGTGTATTATAGTATTGCATGTACATATATATAGAATAACGTTCTTTTTGATAAAAAAAAGGTTGATGCGGATATAAATGGAAATTTATTCAAGTCAAAGATTAGTCCAATTTCTTTTGATTCCCTAAAAAATGCAGCCAATCTTGTCTTTACACCAAATGACAATGTGACATCAGAATCTTTGATGGTATTTGGACAAATTATAAAGAAATTCCGTTTCGACAAACCGTCTTCTATTACAAAAGTAATTACCACGTTCAGCAAACCATCTATTTAAAGTAATAATTATTGAGTGCTACTTTTAATATATTTTCTTAGACTAAAAACGAAAATAACTATCCAACAAATCAAGATCAAGAACATGGTGTACCACAAATGGTAACATTTATGTTCGCTATTTTTAAAATCATAGTTATCGTTATCTGATTATTCAAATCATATGCATGTAAACGTAACAAAGTTTCAGATCGATTGTGTTTTCCTCTTTCGTCGACTCGTTTTAACGATCCCCATACACCTAACCCTCGAACAACTGCTTATTACGATCGAGCATCGTGTGCAGACAGCGGTGAATCGTGATCGCGTTTTTTTCGTGAACAAAAATAACGAAAAAATTAATCTTGAAAACGATCAAGACTGGCAACTCGCGAAATTGGAAATGAAAATGGAGAAAATGAAATTGGAATTGTTGTTGGTTTGAAGCATTTCTTTAATTGAATGAGATGTCACATAGTATGAATGTAGTTATTGGTTAGAATAATTATTCTCTTGGAATATTTCTAGACTAAGAAAGGTGCATTTCCAACATGTACTTTAATTTTTCAAATAAGAAGTATATTAAACATTAAGGCCCTTGAATAAAATAATCTCCCTCGTGCTCATAACCCAATTCCTTAGTATTCACATGCCACAATTTAACTAATCTATCGACATCGCGCCGAAACCTCTTCTTCAATCGACGTGTTTGTTTCTTGTTTTCTGCATGAAAAATTTTCTCGTCTACTTTTCTGATTACATTACCAAACAATTATTAAAGAAAATCTAAGGATACTTATGATTACAATGTAATTACTTATCATGACTACAAGAATTAGGGATATTTTTTGGTTTGATGGTTTGGAGGTGATTTAAGCAACTTATTTAAATTTTACTCTAATTATTTTGATTAAGGGATCAAAAGCAAAAGAAAATATTCCTAATCAGAATTATTATTAAAAGTATTAAAAGTTCAGAATATATAATTTTGTCAATTGATCATAAATTTTCTGATCTATTAGAAGTTCTAATTCAGAACAATACATAATATTTAAAGTTATTAAATATTTATATTTTATAAATTGTATAAATCTCTTAAGTAAAATTCTAATTTAATCTGTGAATATAATTAAAAAGATTATATTCATAAATTAAATTTATTTCTTAATTAAGAAGTCTATAATACAAATATTTAATAATTTTAAATATTATTTATCATATAAATAATTTTATATTAGTTAAAATTTTTAAATTGAAATCTAAATATTAATTTCTGATATATAATCTATTCATTCTGATTTGTCATTTCTTTATATATAAGTTTTTTAAAATTTACTTCTTTTTTCATTTTTTAATATACAGTAATGACCAAAAGTAATGATTCAGGGGCTAAATTTATTAATAAAACATAGTGAAAATTG